TAATCTTTTCAAGTTAGTGTTTTTATTTTCTTCAAATACCGAGAAGTGGAATTGCTGGGTCATAAGGTAATTCTGTTTTTAATTATTTGAGGAACCTCCATGCTGTTTTTCACAGTGGCTGCACCAATTTACAATCCCACCAACAATGCACGTGGGTTCCTTTTTTTCCATGTCCTTGTCAGCACTTGCTATTTTTTGTCTTTTGATAATAGGCAGTTCTAATAGGTGTGAAGTGATGTGTCGTTGTGGTTTTGATTTGTGTTTCCCTGATGATGAATAATGCTGAGTGCCTTTACATGTACCTGTTGGCCATTTGTATGTCTTCTGTTCTTTGGTTTTGTGAACCATGCATTACTTTTATTATTATCAATGAATTAATGATTGATACAAATATAGAAGTGAATGAAGAAAAAGAGTAAAATATGGACTAATGATAATGACTGGTGGCATAGGATTCATGGACAATGAAAATATGTGTCTGAAATGCACAGAGTAACTAGGCTGTTTCTTCAGTTGGAATTGTTTCTATAGAGAGATGTTAAGAATATAAAAATATCATATTCTCATATTGATTTCATAGATGTAGATTTGTTATTATTTATGTAATGATAGAGCCATTAAACAGATATAAGTTTATGGAAAAGACGAGGTTGAAGAATTGTCCATCTATAAACATGTGATAAGGCAAAAAATATTAATAAAAATTTATAACATTGATGCCCATTAATAAATAAATAGATGAATAAATCTCCTCTTTGACCAAGGTCATACAAACATGGATAATTGAGAGTTAATTTGATTATTCAGGGTCAGTCTTAAGATTGGAGTTTTTCCTTTGTTAAGATAAAAATTATGTATTAAGAAACAATTGTAAATACGTAAGTACCGAATAAGTGAAATGCAGAAAGCAAGATTTGACCTCAAAAAGTTTTATTTTATCATCTGCTCTTCTCCATACTTTTCAGAGTGTTAAATACTCGAGATGATTTAAGCATCTTTCATCGTCACAGACCCTATGCTTGCCTCTTTGTAATAGCCAGAAGATTAATGTGAGTAACAGCTGAAGTTCTTTTCTTGGTTTCAGTGTTATTGTTTTAAGATTATTCACTGTATTATTAAAAAGTGTGATAAATAAGTAAAGAAGGTAACTAACTATACCTGTGTTCAATATGGGATATATGAAAAATTATATTTATTTTAATGCATGCATGGAAAAGTGGTGATAATTAATGAAAAAGATATATTGACGTGAGAATAAATATATTCACTTTAAGAACTTAAGGGCTCATCTCAGTTTTTGTGAATAATAGGGTTTTAAAGTTATTATTAGTGAATTAATGATTTAATCAACATACAAATAGAATAGAATGAGGAAATGAGAGATAATATTGGATCAATGATGACTCCTGGTGGTGTATGAGTCATATACAATGAATATGTTTCTGGAATTCTAAGGTCCAACATAAAATTAATCTGGTCCATTCTCATTGTTTGAAGGGATTCTATAGACAAGTGTCAGGAATATATGATCTTGTTTTTGGTCTTCATGTTCATGAATTTTCATCTATTAATATAATTGGATAAGTGATAGCATCTATATATAAACATAAATTTAAAAAGATAAATGGAGTAAAGCATTGTCCAATTATAAAAATACATTTTTATGCAAGAAACACTATTGCTATATTATGAAAACTGTGAAGTTCAATTAGAAACAAATGACACATTACTGTTTCCTGTATGGCTACAGATGGTGTAGACAGGATAAGCTATAGAAAATGCTCATAGCCTGGGTCAGTTGTGAAATTGAAGTTTGTTTTTTTTTAAGGGGAAAAATGTATACACCAAATTAATGCTTGCTTAAATAACTGACTATGTGAGTGGTGAAAACCAAGGATCAACCTGTTTCTATCATCTGCTCTGCTTTAGGCTCCTCAGAATAAACACACTGGACCTGATTTAAGGACTATTCTTGATCACGAGCCACAGGATTGCATCTCAGTTTTAGGAATCTGGAAACCAATGTGAGTAATCATGAAAGTTCTTGTCTTGGTTTGGGTGGTTTAAGGGTACTCACTGCAGTAATAAAAAGTATGAAATATACTTAAAGATGACTGACTGTCCTAGCCACAAATAAGGGGCTAATAGGAAACATCCTATTGATTAACACATATATAAACAGATAATAAATATGATAGATATAATGATGTAAGAATGGTTCCAGATACATATTAGGGCTATCAAGACCCTTTTGAGTTCTGTGAATTATAAGAGTTTAAAATTTTTAATTAGTGAATTAATGAATTAATAAACTATATAGAAACGAATAAAGGGAAAGTGGTCTTTTCTGGAACAAGGATAACTGCCAGCATATGAGCCATGGTTGATGAATAATATGTGTTTGGAATTCTGAGGTCAACACAAAAGGAATGTGATCTTTCTCTTTATGCATTTTTCTTTATTTTAAGTGGATCAATGAGTTATCAATAAGGAAATATATAAAAAATAAAGCTGAATGGTAGTTGTGATGTTAAATTTAAAACATGTGAGGAGGCATTAAATTCTATTAAGGTAATTTGAAAGCAATAAAGTCCAAAGAGAAATGAATGGTACATGACTGTAACCTCTTTGGCTAAGAGTGATATAGACAAGGTGAATTATAGACAATGTTTATGTCCTGGGTCAGTCCGAAGTTCAAAGTAGTTCATTTTCATAAAGACAGTGAAATAAATATACTCTAAATAATGATTGCCTAAATTACTGATTAAATGAAATATGTAAAGCAAGGATCAATGGAAGAAAGTCTCAACCTTTTTGTCACCTCTGCTTGGTACTCTTCAGAACAGATGTGTTAGCTAATTTCAGCTTGTACCCTGGTGAAGTTTCTTATGTTGCTTCCGTGTTACAAGAGAGACCAAGGTAAGTAGTAATCAGAGATTTTTGTCTTGGTTGGGGTCATTTGTTTAAGGGTATTATTCATGGTATTATTACAAATTAACAAGTATAATCATAAAGTAATTTACGACCCATTGATATGAACCATTATGTTGATCAATTGATAATATGTAACATTGAGATTGATTGAGAGAGATACAATCTATGTTGGCAATTATTCAGTAGGTAGAATCAGGGATATTCCAAATTGTTGGTTCTTCAGTTTTTGTTTATATATTTATTTTATTATTATCAATGATTTAGTCAATACAAATGTAGAATTAATGAAGAAAGGTGAGCATCCATGGACCAATGATAATGACTGTGATGGATGAGTTATGGATGATGAATAATATGTATCTGGAGCTCTGAGGAACATACAATGCATGGTCTATTCTCTTTGTACAGTTGATGCTATGGACAGATGTTAGGAAAGCACAAAGATCATGTGTTTACCTTGGGTTTATAGATTTAAATTTTTAATTTTTTTTCAATTAAATTTATTGGGGTGACATAGTAAAATTACATAGGTTTCGATTTAAATTTATTATTATAAATGGGTCAGTGATAGAACCATTGAAGATATATAAATAACAGATAAACGTTAAAATGTGAAATGTCCCATTATGAACACATGTGGCAAGGCAAGAAATATTAATGAAAATTGCAAACACTGATGCCCATTAAGAAATAAATGGATCAAGGGCGTCACCTCCTGGGCCAAAGATCACATAGACACGATCAATTAAAAGTTAATTTTGTGGTCTGGGTCATTCTCAAGTTTGAAGGGATTCTTTTTTGTTTTTGTTTTGTCTTATTGAGAGAAAAAGATGTCTACATTGTAAAAATTTATATATACTTAAATGATTGAGTAAATGAAATGTGGAAAGCAAGAATCAATGTGGATTAAAGCTTTTTATCATTGACTGCTTTGTACTTCTCAGAATGTACACATGTGAGCTAGTGAAGCGTTATTCCATGGCGGCGAGCTGTGTGATTGCATCTCTGTGTGTGAAGCACACAAACCAGTGTAATAGTCAGAGTTCTTGTCTTGCTTTCAGTGATTGTTTCTTTTCAGAGCATTCAGTGTATTTTTGAAAATTCCATATAGAATCACAGAAGGCCAACTGTAGCTTAGTGATAAATATTAAATTTTATGAAACATTATATTGATTAATGCATAAATAAAAAACAGCATAATTAAAAAAGATATATTAGATTTTAATTACACATTAGGGATATCATCACTTTTCTTGTTTTTTTTTTTGTGACTAATAGGGATTTAAAATTATTATTAGAGAATTAATGATAAAAAACAATGTAGAAATGAATGTAGAAAAAGAGGGACAATGTAGATCAGTGATGCCTACTGGTGGAGGATGAATCACATATGATGAATATGTGTCTGGAATTCTGAGGTCCAACACAAAAGAAATATAATCTAGCCCATTCCCATTGTTTGAAGGGATTCTATAGACAGATGTCAGGAATATATGAAGGTCTTGTTTTTGGTCTTTATGTGCATTTATTTTCTGTGCATTTTTATAATTGGATCAATGAAATAAACAATGAAATAAATGAGATGAAGGCAGCAAAATGTTCTCCAATTATAAAAATATATGGTTAGTCAAAGAACAATATTAATGTATATTTAAAACACTGACATATGTAAGGGAATATATGGCATTAAGGTGTTTTCTTTGACTAAGAATGATATAGTTGTTGATAAGTAATAGTGAGCGGTCATGTTCTCTTATCAGTGGTTAGAATGGTATTATTTGTTTACTTAGAAAAAATAAAATTCACTGCTTAATAGTGATTGACTGAATTAAATGTGGAATGCAAAGACCAATGAATATAACCTCAGTCTTTTTTATCACTGCTTTGTTCTGACCTCCACAGAATGGTTGCATTGGAGCTGATGTAAGCATTCCACCATGGTCGCGAGCACCGCGGTTGCCTCTATATACAAAAGGAAGACAGAGGTTAATGTGAGTAGCAGTTGAAGTTATTTTCTTGGTTTAAGTGTTTTTTAATGTCATCCACTGCATTATTAAAAAGCACAAAATATAATTAAAGGAGGCTATATATTTCAGTGATGAATATGGGATATATGAACTATTATATTGACTCATCCATGTGTGTGGAAACCTGAGGATGAGTAATGAAGGAGACACATTGATGTGAGAATAATCTGTGCACACACTAGGGACGTGTAAAGGTCTTCTTGAGTTTTGTGAATTAAAGCATTTAAAATTATTAGTCAGTTAATGAATTAGTCAATGACAATTAGAAATGAATGAAGAAAACAAAGGACAGTATTGGATCAATGATGACTACTGGTGGCAGATGAGTCATATACGATGAATACGTACATGTCTGGAACCTTGAGGTCCAACACAAAAGAAACCTAGGCCGCTCCAATTGTTTGAAGCAATCCTATAGACACATGTCAGGAATATACAAGGATCCTCTTTTTGATCTTAGTTTTCATGCATTTTCATTCTATTATTATAATTGGATAAATGTGAGAATCTATAAATAAATATATATAAATTAAGATCATGGAGTGAAACTTTGTCCAATTATAAAAATATATTATTAGGCAAGAAATACGATGAACATATTATGAAAACCCTAAAGTTCATTTAGAAATAAATGGTACATGGCTGCTACCTGTATGGCTAAGGATGTCGTACACAGGATAAGTCCTAGACAATGTTAGGATTCTGGGTCAGTTTACAAGATCAATGTTGCTCTTATTCTTAAGGGAAAAAATATTTACTCCAAATTAATGATTGCCCAACAACTGAATAAATGAGAGATGAAAAGCAAGGATCAATGGATAAATGTCTTAGTTATTGTTATCATCTGCTCTGTTTTATACTCTGCAGAATGGACAAATTTCACCTGCTTTGAGGATTCTTCCTTGATCAAGAGTCTTGGGGTTACATTCCTGATTTAGGATCCAGGAGACCAGTGTAATAATCAAAATTCTTATCTTGGTTCTGGTGTTTTGTCTAATGATATTTACTGTATTAATAAAAAGTATGAAGTATAATCAAAGACTGCCAACTGTGTCTTAGAGACAAATATGGGACTAATAGGAAGCATTAGATCAATTATTGCACTTATAAAAAGTGGGATAATTAATGACAGATATATTGATGTGAGAATGAGTCTATACACATATTAAGGGTATCAATGCCTTCCTGGGGATCTTGTGAATCATATGGTTTTAAAATTATAATTATTGAATTAATGAATTAATCAATAAACAATGTAGAAATGAATGAAGAGAAAGAGGCCATTTGGATCAATGATGATAACTGCCGGCGTATGAATCATGGATGATGAATAATACGTGTCTGGAACTTTGAGATCCAACGCAAAAGCAACATGGTCTTTCTCTTCATGGAAAGAGTGTCTCATTTTATTATCATCTGCTCTGCTCTGTACTCCTCAGAATGGACACACTTGAGCTGATTTCAGCATCTTCCATGGTCACAGTCTCTCTGGTTGCTTCTATGTTGTAGGACCATGGAGGCCAATGTGAGTAATAATCAAAGTTATTGTCTTAGTTTGAGTGACATGTTTAAGGCTGTTCATGGTATTATTCAAAAACATTAAATATACTCAAAGAAGGTGACTAATGACAGAGTTTAATACCAGATTGATATGAAGCTTTATGTTGACTAATCCATAAACATAACAGTGAGGTCAGCTAATAAAAGAGATTTAGTCTCTGTAATATTGTAGAGATAGACGTTAGGAATGTTGAAGGATCATATTCTTATTTTTTATTTATGTGTATTTCTTTATTAATTAATTAATCTATAAGCAATGTGAGACTGAAAAAAAAGAGAGACAGTCATGGACCAATGATGATGACCGGTTGGTGTATGAGTCATATACAATGAATTTTATGTGTCTGGAACTCTGAGATCTGATAGAAAAGTAATCTAGTCCATATCTTGCATGTATAGGGATCTTATGTACAGATGCTAGTAATCTATAAGGATTTTGTTCTTGGTCTTTGTGTTCATGAATTTTAATAATTTATAATAGTATTAATGGTAGAATAAATAAAGAAATATATAAATGATTAAAGGTGAAGAGGTTGAAGTATCTTTCATAAATACGAGTAGTAAGGTAAAAGAATTTTAACATACTTTAGAATGGATATAAAAGGACCAAGTATGTTACAGCTTTCACTAAGGTTGATGTAGACAGTAGAATGTAGTAGTCCGTTTTTGTCTGATTCAGATACAAGTTTAAAGTTAATTTTTAAGATAAAAATAAATATCTTTGTAAGTTTATAAATGCCTAAATGCCTATGTAAATGATGGTGGAATATTTAGCTTAGTGGAGAGAAAGTCCCAACCTCTGTGCCACCTTCTCTGTTTGGTACTCTGCAGAACAGATGCCCGAGCTAGCTGATATCATCTTTGATCGTGATCAAGATTGTCATGTACCCTTTCTGTTAGGGAAGAGACCGAGGTGAGTAATGGTCACAGATTTGTTTAAGCATCTTCACGGTATTATTTAAAAGTCGAAAATATAGTTTAAAAGTTAACTATGGCCCAGTGATAAATATGATATAAAACATTATATTGATTAATTTACTATGTAACATTGAGATTGATTAATGAAAGGTGTGTAACATAAGTTGGCAAATATTCTACAGTAGAAGTTAGAGATGTTCAAGCATCTTATTCAGTGTTTTGGAATTACATTGATTTTATTATTTTCAATAAATTAATGATTTAATCGATATAAATATAGAAACAAATGAAGAAAATGTGGGCCTCTAATGGACCAATGATGACAACTGGTGGCGGATAAGTCATGGACGATGAATAACCTGAGTCTGGATATCTGAGGTCCATCACAATAAATAGTCTATTCCTTCTGTTGATTTGATCCTGTAGACAGATGTTAGAAATATACAAAGATTATATCCTTATTTTCAGTTTATGGATTTAGATTTGTTATTACTAATGGATCAGTGGTAGAAACAATAAAGACATAAACAATAGGTAAAGAAAAAAGGATGAGTATTATCCAACTATGAACATATATGGTGAGGCAAGAAATATTAATAAAATTGAAAATACTGATGCCCATTAAGAAATAAATGGATAAGGGTGTTATCTAGTTGGCAAAGGATAAGTCTCAGGGTCAGTCTCAAGTTTGAGGTTGTTATTTTGATTGAGACAAATATATTTACATCATGAAAAATTTATAAATACCTAAATGAATAAGTAAGTGAAATGTGGGAAGGAAGGATCAGTGGAGACAAGGTCTTAACTTTTTTTTATCATCAACTGTGCTTTGTACTTCTCAGAGTGGACACACATGAACTGATGAAGCATTTTCCCATGGTGGTGAGCCCTATGATTGCATCTCTGTCTTAGGAGCAGAGAAACCAAGGTGAGAAATGGTCAAAGATCTTGTCTTGGTTTCAACAATATTTTTTAAGGATATTCAGTGTATTTTTTAAAAGTGCTATATAGAGTCAAAGCTTACCATCTATAACTCAGTAATAACTATTGAATTAATGAGACCTTATATTGATTACTACATGTTATACATGAAATTTAAGATAATAAAAGACAGACATTGATGTGAGAATGATTCTATGCACAGATTAAGGGTAGCATGACTCTTCTTGGATTTTTGTGAATAGTAGGTCTTTAAATTATTATTAGTGAACTAATGAATTAATAAACAATGTAGAAATGAATGAAGAAAAAGAGGGACAATATTGGATCAATGATGACTACTGGTGGCGTATGAGTCATATACGATGAATACGTATCTGGAACTCTGAGGTCCAACACAAAATAAATCTAGTCTATTTCTATAATTGGATAAATGAAATAATAAGCAAATATAAAAATAAAGATAAAGGTGGTGGAATGTTGTCCAATTATAAAAATATGTGGCTAGGCAAGGAATAGTATTAATGTCTATTTAAAACACTGACATTTATAAAGGATAATATGGTACAAGGGTGTTATTCTTTTACTAAGGATGATATAGATATCGATGAGTGGTAGTGAACATTCGTGTATGTCAGTGGTTAGATCAATATTGTTTGTTTACTTATGAGAAATTAAAATAGACATTGTCCTAATACATTGATTACATAAATGACTGACTAAATGAAAGGTGGAATGCGATGGCCAATGACATAATATCTCAACCTTTTTTTAACCATCCTCTTCTGTCTTGTACTCTTTAGAATGGCCACTCTTGGGTGACTTGAGCGTTTTCCATGGACAGAAGTTCTCTGGTTGCATCTATGCATTGAAAGCATGGAGACAAATGTAAGTAATAGTCAAAATTCTTCTCTTGGTTTTGTGTTTTTTTAAAAAGATTTTCACTGCATTATTAAAAGTGTTATATAAAATCAAAGATCATAACCATGGCCAAATAGTAAATTTGGGGTTATTATTAAAGGATTATATTAATTAATCTATACAGGAAAACATTGAAGTTAATTAATGGAAAGATTTATAGTCAGTAGGAAGTAATTCTATAGAAAAATGTTAGAGCTATTTAAGGATCTTGTTTCAGTGTTTTGTGACCTCTGAGCATTTATTGTATTGTTTTTAGTTAACAGGTAAATTAATCAATAAAACATGTAAACATTAATGAGTATAATGAGTATGAAACTTGAACCAGGTGTTTTTTTTTTGTTTTGTTTTGTTTTTTAAGCTGAGCCATCCTGCCACGTGTTGGCAGCTTAGCGGCAGCTCAGCTTGGGCTGGGAATCGAACTGCTGTTGCTCAGAGCTCAAACTCTTGAGCCAACTGAGCCACTTGGCCAGCCCCAAAGTTCTTTGCTTGATTTAAGTGTTTTCTTTTAAGGTAATTTACTGCATTATTAAAAATTGGAAAATGTAATTAAAGAAGCAGTGTATCTCAGTGATAAATATAGGCTATATGAACCATTATATTGATTAATTCCCATATGAAAAACAGGATAATTAATGAAAGAGACACATTGATGTGAGAATAACCTATGTACAGATTAGGGATGTAATAACTCTTCTTGGGTTTTGGCGAATCATAGTGTTTAGAAGTTTTTAGTGAATTAATGATTTAATCAATAAACAATGAGAAGTGAATGAAGAGAAAGAGGGACAATCTTGGATCGATGATGACTACTGGTGGCGTATGAGTCATGAACGATGAATATGTGTCTGGAACTCTGAGGTCCAACACAAAAGCAATGTGGTCTTTCTCTTCATGTAAAGAGTGTCTCATTTTATTGTCATCTGCTCTGCTCTGTCCTCAGAACAGACACACTCAAGCTGATTTCGGCATCTTCCATGGTCACGAGCTCTCTGGTTGCTTCTATGTTGTAGAAGCATGGAGACCAATGTGAGTAATAGCAATATTTTAGCTTGATTAAATATAATCAAATAAGGCAAAATATACTATTGTTAAACATTAGATTGATCGCAAATGTATGTTTATTAATGTATAATTGTAACCTTGAAGTCAATTTTTGGAACATGGTTAATCTCTGGAAAGGACTATAGAAATAGATATTAAGGTATTGAAGGATATTATACTTCTTTATTTTTTATTCCTGTGCCTTTATTAATGAATTAATCCATAAACAAATGTTTATGAGAATGAAAACAAAGAGGGCCAATTATGGATCAGTGATGGTGACTGGTGATGGGTGAGTCATGGATGATGAATAATGTGTGTCTGGTTACTGAGGTCCAACATAATGATACCTAGTGTAGTCTCTCTGTTTATTTGATCTTATAGACAGATGTTAGGAATATACTCCAGAGAGGTATTGGGTTAATAAATTTAGATTTATTATTATTAATGGATGAATTATGGAACCATTAAGGAAATATAAATAATAGGTAATGAAAAAGGGTGGAGCGTTGGCCAACTATGAACATAAATTATTTATTAAATTGAAAGCACTAAAACTCATTAAGGAATAAATGGATCAAGAGTATCACCTCTTTGCTAAGGCTCATATAAACACAGAATATTCAGAGTCAGTTTTATTTTGAGGGTCTCTTCTAAGTTTGCTATTGTTAGTTTTGTTAAGATAAAAATTTTTACACTATGAATAATTTATAAATACCTAAATGAATGAGTAACGAAATGTGGAAATCAAGGATCAGTGTGGATAGTAACTTAACTTCTTTCTATCATCACCTGTGCTTTGTACTTCTCAGAATGACCCACTTGGGCTGATGAAGCATTTTCCCACGGTGGCGAGTTCTGTAATTGCCATCTCTGTGTTAGGAGCAGAGACCAACGTGAGTAACGGTCAAAATCTTGTCTGGGTTTCAGTGATTTTTTTTTTAGGGTATTCAGTGTATTTTTGAAAAGTAACATATATAATAAAGATGGCCAACTGTAACCCATTGATAAATATTGACTTGATATGGAATATAAAAATATAGGATATTTAAAGAAAGGGTATATTGATGTGAAAATAATTCTATATACAGAATAAAGATTTCAGGGCTGTTCTTGACTTTTTGTGATAATTGGGTTTTAAAAATCATTATTAGTGAATTAATGAATTACTCAAACAATGTAGAAATGAATGAAGAAAAAGAAGAACAATATTGGATCGATGATGACTACTGGTGGCGTATGAGTCATATACGATGAATACGTGTCTAACTCTGAGGTCCAACAGAAATGGAATTTGGTCCATTGTCCTGTTTGAAGTGATTCTATAGACAGATGTCAGGAATATATGAAGATCTTGTTTTTCTTCTTCACATTCATGCATTTGCTTTCAATTTGTATAATTGGATCAATGAAATCAACAAACAAATATATATATGAATAAATAAAGGGCGAAGTTGGTGAAATATTGTCCAATTATAAAAATATGTGGTTAGGCAAGAAAAACTATTAATATGTATTGAAAGAAAATATCTATTTGTATATTTATACACAAGAGTGTTATTCTTTGAATAAGGATTATATAATTATTGATAAATAGTATCATATTCTCTATCAGTGGCAAGATAGATATTGTTTACTTATTTAAGATAAAATAAAATATAAATTATCTCAGTTCATTACTTAATGGTTGGCTAAATGAAAGGTAGAATTCAAGGATCAATGACATAACATCTCAACTTTTTTATTATTTGCTGTCTTGTACTCCTCAGAGTGAACGCACTTGAACTGATTTTAGCATTTTCCATGGTCATGGGCTCTCTGGTTGCATCTATGCATTAAGAACATGGAGACCAATGTGAGTAATAGTCAAAGTTCTTTTCTTGGTTTTGTAGTTGTAAACATAAGTTTTCACTGAATTATTAAAAAGTGTGAAATATGATCAATGATGGTCAAACACACTAAAAAGAATAATGGTGTTAGTGTAAAGTATTATGTTAATTAATCCTTGTAGAAATTTTGAGGTCATTAATGAAAGATATGTATTGTTTGTGGGACATAATTTTATACACACATGTTAGAGATAGTCAAGGATCTTGTTTCTAGTTTTTGTCATCCCATGGCATTCATTTTATTATTATTAGTGAATTATTGAATTGATAAGGATGCCTAGACATGAGTGAAGATAATGAGGTCTAAACCTGTACAAAATGAGAACATGTAGTGGCATATGCATCTTGGATGATGAATACTACAGATCTGGAATTCTGAGGTCCAACACAAAAGAAATCCAGCCCTTTCTCCCCATTCGAAGTGACCCTATAGAGAGAGGTTAGGTGTATACAAGGATCGTGTTCTTGTTTTTTTTGTACAAGAATATTTAAAAACACTATTATTAATGGCAGGATAAATAAACAAATATATAATGAATAAATACAAAGATGGTGAAGTAGTTCTTAAAATATATAACAAAGAAATATAAATTGGAATGGTAAATAATATGATCAAGTGTATATGTCTTTGAGTATGATAGACAGCGATAAGTAATAGTTGCTTACTGGTTGAGTCCATTAAAACTTTGACATTTGATTTATTAAGAGAAAAATAAGTATTACCACACATTAATAAATGCCTAAATAACTATGCAAATGAATGGTGGAAACTATGAATCAATGGAGAAAACGTTTCTAAATTTTTATCACGTTGTTTGTTTGGTCGCCCCTCTTCAAAATGGACACTGGACCTGATTGCAGCTTCTGCTGTCATCAAGATTGTCATGCTCCCTCTGTGTATGGAAAGAGACCAAGGCGAGTAGTGATCAAACTTGTTGTCTTGGAGTGCGTCATTTATTTAAGGGTATTTACAGTATTATTTTAAAGTTTTAATAAACAGTTAACCATGTCTCAATGATAAATATGACATGAAACATTAAGTTAATCAATAATGTTCAGGATTGAGGTCTACTAATGAAAGAGGTATATTTTATGTGGGAAATGATTCTGTGAACTGATGTTAGGGATATTCAAAAATCTTGTTCTTAAGCTTTTATGAATCATGTATTATTTTGTTATTATCAATGAATTTATGATTTAATCAATACAAATGTAGTAAAGAATGAAGAATAGACCAAATCATGGACCAGTGATGGTGACCTGTGGCATAGGAGTCATGGATAATGAAAATATATATCTGAAGCTCTGAGGTCTAACCCAAAACATAGTCTGTTTCCTGTGTTGAAATTATTTCTATGAAGAAATACAAAAATCATATTCTTATATAGATTTCATAAACATAGATATGTATTAATGGAATAATGATAGAAGTATTAAACAAATATAAATAAGTGTACAAAGATGAATCGGGTGAAACGTTGTCCAATTATGAATGTATGTAGTGAGGGAAAAGATAATATTAATCAAATTGAAAACATTCATTCCTATTAAGAAATTAATGGATCAGAAGCCACTGGTGTGCCTAAGGATCCGATAAGGAAGAGTCTATTTTATTCTTCTGAGTCAATCTCAAGATTGAGTTTTTCCTTTTGTTAAGAAAAAAAATACATATATTAAGAAAAAGCAATAAATACCTAAATACTGAGTTAATGAAATGCAGGAAGCAAGGATCAATGACAATTAGGTCTCAGTTTTGCTTTCTTGTTTTAATCATCTGCTCTGCTCTGTAATCCTCAGATGCACTTCAGCTGAGTTAATCATCTTGCATGCTCACGAGCTCCCTGGTTGCCTGTATGTAATAGGAGGACAGAGATGAATGTGTGTAATAGTTCAAGTTATTTTCTTGGTTTCGGTGTTGTTTTTAAAAATATTATTCATTAAAAAGTGGAAAATATATTTAAAGAATGGAATTCTATCTCAGTGATAAATATGGGGTATAGTTACTATATTTATTAATGTACATAAGAAAAATAGGGTAATTAATGAGAAATATATTGTGAAAATAATTACATACATTAGGGACATAAAAATTTCTAGGATTTTTGTGAACTGTAGCATTTAAAACTTAATATTAGTAAAATAATTATGTAATCAATAAAACCATAGAAATGAATGAAGAAAACGAGGGACAATATTGGATCAGTGATGACCACTGATGGCATATGAGTCATATACAATGAATTTGTGTTTGGAACTCTGAGGTCCAACGAGAAGGAAATTTAGTTCATTACCTTTCTTTGAATTGATAGATAGATTTCAGGATTATACAGTAATCTTTTTTTTTAAAGATTTTATTGGGGAATTGGGGGGCTGGGAACAGTGTTGGGGAATCGGGGAAGGGGAGCAGACAAGTTGCTGTTCTTTTGTTCTTCAGTCTAGTTGTGGAGGATGTTGCTTCACTGGCCCGTGTTGGTATTATCATTGTGCTCTTCCTGGGTGAGGGAGATCAGTCGCCAGCCTCTGGATGGCCTCTCACAGTGGCTCATAGCAGCTCACACTGGCTGCTGGCTGCTCACGCTGGCTGCCAGCCACACACGGTAACTCATGGCAGCCCACTGCAGCAGGGGCTGCAGCCTATGCCGTCGCTGGCGACTCACGGCATCCCAGCTCCAGGTTGAGCTGTTGTTCACCGTCTTAGCTGTAGAGGGCACAGTGTCACTGGCCCTCATGTGGGATCCGAACCGGGGTCCTGTTGCACAGAGCTGGCATCCCAAGCCAGCTCTTAACCAATGCGCCACTCGGCCGGCCCTACAGTAATCTTTTTATTGGTCTTTGTGTTCATGAATTTTTGAAATACATAATAAAAGAATCAATGACAGAATAAATTACCAAAAGTATACATCAATAAAGAAGAAGAGGGCAAAGCCTTGCTCATTACTAAAATATGTAGTCAAGAAAATGGATATTAATATATATTGGAATGGATAATAAATGGACCAAGTGTATTATGTCTTGGACTAAGGATGATATAGACAGTGACAGGTAATAATAGCCACTTATTGTTCTGAGACATTTGCAAGTTTGAAGTTAATTTTATAAAAAGAAAAAGTAAATTTTGCTATAAATAAATAAATACCTAAATGATTATGTAAATGAAGTACGGAAAGTATAGATCAATGGAGACAATGTCTCAATATTTTTGTCATCTTTTCTTGATACGCTTCAGAAACAAAGCACCAAGCTGACTTAAGCCTTCCTCCATGATCAAAAGTGTTATGTCACCTCTGTTTTCAAAAAGACACCAAGGTGGGCCGGCCGAGTGGCACGATGGTTAAGAACTGGCTTGGGACGCCAGAGGGCCCTGGTTTGGATCCCACATGTGAGGGCCAGTGACACTGCCCTCCACAAAAAAACAAAACAAAACAAAAAAAGACACCAAGGTGAGCAATAGTCAAACTTCTTGTCTTGGTTTTGGTCATTTGTTTAAGGTATTCTTAGTATTATTAAAAAGTATTAAGTATAATTTAAAAAGCTATCTGTGCCCATTGATTAATATGATAGGAACCATGTTGATTAATTGATAATGTGCACCATTGAAGCCGCTTAATGAAAAAGATGATATAGTGTATTGATTGGGAAAGCTTTCTATCAATAGATGTTAGGGATATTTAAGGATTTTGTTCTTGTGTTTTTGTGAATCGTGTATTTTTTATTATGATCGGTGAATTAATGATTTAATTGATACAAATTGAGAAATGACTGAAGAAAAAGAGGGCCTCCCATGGACCAATGATGACTTCTGGTGGCGTATGAGTCATGGATGATGGATCATATGTGTCTGGAAGTCTGAGGCCCAACACAATACCTAGTATATTCCTTCTAAAATGATCCTATTGACAGATGTCAGGAATATACAAATATCAAATTCTTATTTTAGATTCATAGATTTAGATTTACTATTATTAATGAATCAATGATAGAACCATTAAATAAATATAAACAAACAGATAAATAGGAAAAGGGTGGAGCACTTTTCAACTATGAACATTTGTAGTGAGGAAAAAAGTATTACTTATAAAAATTGAAAACACTGATATTCATTAAGAAATAAGTGGGTTAAGAATGTTACCTCTGCCAGCCAAGTGGCTCAGTTGATTAAGAGCTCACTCAAGAGTGCGAGCTCTTAGCAACAGAGGTTCGATTCCCGGCCCGAGCTGAGCTGCCACTGAGCTGCCAACAGAATGTTACCTCTTGGGCCGGCCGAGTGGCGCGCTGGTTAAGAGCTAGCTTGGGACTCCAGCTCTGAGCAGCAGGGCCTGGGTTCGGATCCCACATTAGGGCCAGTGACGCTGTGCCCTCTACAGCTAAGATGGTGAACAACAGCTCGACCTGGAGCTGGGCTGCCATGAGTCCCCAGCGACGGCATAGGCTGCAGGGGGGCTGGTCGGCAGCAGGCGTGAGCTTTCGTAAGCGGCTGTGAGCGGCTGTCCAGTGGCCGGTGACTGATCTGCCTCACCCGGGAAGTGCACAGTGATAATACCAACATGGGCCAGTGAAGCGACGTCCTCCACAACTAGACTGAAGAACAAAAGGACAGCAACTTGTCCATTCCTCTTCCCCGATTCCCCAACGCCGTTCCCTCCCTCAATTCCCCAATAAAATCTTTAAAAAAAAGAATGTTACCTCTTCGATTTAGGTTAATACTGACACTGTTTAGTAAGCGTCAATTTTATTGTTCTGGATCAGTTCCAAGTTTGGGTTGCTCCTTTTGTTAAGAGAGAAAAATATGTATTTATGAAACTTAATTAAACATCTCAAGAGCAACTGAAATGTAGAAATGAAGGATCAGTGGAGATAAGGTCTCAATTTTCTGTATCTGCTCTGCTCTACACTCTTCAGGATGGACACACCCCAGCTGATTTCAGCATGTTTCATGGTCACGCGCTGGTTGCATCTGTGTTTTAGGAGCATGTAGACCAGTGTGAGTAATTGTTAATTGTTCTTGTCTTGGTTTGGGTGGTTTATTTAAGAGTATTCAAAGTTATTAGATTACTAAAAAGTGTGAAAAATAATCAAAGGTGGCCAACTGTAGACTAGTGATAAATATGAAATTGACATGATACATTATATTGACTATTGCATATGTGTAAAACTTAGGATAATTAATGAAAGACATGGATGTGAGAATTATTAAATATACATAACAGGGACATAAAACTCTTGGGTTTTTGTGAATCATAGTCATTAAAAATTATCAGTGAATAATAATAAACAAATAATAATAAATAGAAATGAATGAAGAAAAAGAGGGACTATTTTTTTATTTTCAAGTTATCAAGCTTCTCTTTATTTCTCTTAACTTGTGTCCAGCTAACAAGCCTGGCAATAACTCCTGTTCAATTGGAACAATATTCCTTTTCCTATCAACTATATATGCATTTTTAAAAATTAAGAGTGGCTATTTTGGATTGATGATGACTCCTGGTGGCGTATGAGTCATATACTGTGAAGACGTGTCAAACTCTGAGGTCCAGCACAAGTGCAATCTAGTCCACTTCCTTTGTTTGAAGGGCTCTGATAGACAGATGTCAGACATACACAAAGATCTTTTTTGGTTTGATCTTGTTGTTCGTGCATTTTTATTCCATTATTTTAATTAGATAAGTGAAAGGATCTATAAATTAATATATAAATAAATAACTATGAATGGAGTGAAACATTATCCAATTATAAAAATATATAGTTATGCAAGAAATGCTATCAATATATATTGAATACTCTGGTATTCGTTAGGAAATGGTAAAGGATGTTTTCTCTTTGGCTAAGGGTGATATAGACAGTGTGAAATAATAGTGTTCTGTGTTAGTGGCAAACTAATATTGTTTGTTTAGTTAAGAGAAAATAAATATCCCAAATAGCTAATTA